ACTGACTCAGCTCAAAATCTACTTTAAAAGGTCTGTGTAGTGCTTTGAAATGTGCATTTTCCATTCGATGTTAAACTTGATCTCAACCGAAACATAAAGAAAGGGTGGGACATAGTTTAGATCCTCCCCTTTTTAAATAGCAGCCAATAGCATTTTGTTTTATCAGCGCTCTGCCAGTGGCAAAGGTTAAGATCAAGCACATCAAATGAAAGGTAATGTGCATTGTCTTGAAGAATGCGGGGCATGTCAGACACTAGAATGCATTTGATTAGTCAAGATTTGATGAAAAACTGAAGTATGAGGCAACTCTGATCTATTTAGGCGAAAGTGACCAACTACAAGCTTTATATAATAATAATAATAACAAATAAAATAAATAAATAAGTATAATAATAATCCCTCACATATATATAGCGCTTATATACCTTAGGAAATTGATTTAAAGTCTCATCCGAAAGACGGAGCTCACTGAGCATATAGAGTCCACATCAATATACTGGGGCGTTAGGACCCACACAGACCGCAGGTTGAGCTCCCTCTGCTGGTCTTACTAACACCACTTCCAGCAGCAACCTAGCTTTCCCATGTGGTCTCCCATCCAGGTACTGACCATGCGCAGCCCTGCTTAGCTTCAGTGGGCAACCAGAGTTGCAGAGAGTTTTATTTAGTTTTATAGAGAGGCAAGTTTTATAAGTTTTTTAATCTCCTGAACGCAAATTTTGTCACTTCACTAGCTTATAGATATCCTAAAAAACTAGCAATACCAATACTAACATCTAAAAAAAAAAAGTTTAAATTAATTTGATGGGACCTTTAATGATCGTCTAAAGACCAAAAGTCACCTAGATCTTGAAGTGAACAGAAAACTAGCACCATTTTTTTTGCGTGAACTATCCCTTCAGGATGTTTTGTGAATACAGGTTCTGTACCACGTTCATCATCAAGATGTAAGATTGCAGCTTATCAAACACATCAACATCCAGATGAAGTGGCTTTTATAGAGACGGCGGTGGTACACATTTAAAGACAGCAGACTGAGGTGGCTATTTCAGAGAGTGACATGGCTGGGGAATGAGCTAATGTCTCATGCGCTGTGGCAAGGCCGTGCAAGAGCCTCTTTAAAGGAGTTAACGATGTGATTAACACTTGCTGTAACGCTGCCCAGTCGAAAGAACGAAAACAAGACAGATCATGCAGACAGAATACACCCAGGCTTACAACGCCACACTGAAAACATTCAAGAGCTCACCGTACGACCAACAAGGATGAGTACAACAAATAAACAAAGAGGTGCTCAGCAAAACAACAGTGGTGTGAACACACAAATGGGGAACAGAAATGGTGGATGTGGATTTGTCAGAGCTGTGGAAAGCAGCGCACCTGAAGACATTGGAAGAAAATGTCTCTTCTTTTGTATGCATGACATGTATCTTAAAATGCGTCTGAGCACAGCAGAAAAATGCTTCTGTTACTTGGATTTTTTGTCTTGTTTCTAGTACAAATGTCAAAAAAATTTTGAATCAAGACACATACAGTTGAAGTCAGTATTATTCGCCCCCCTGTTATTTTTTTCCCCTCAATTTCTGTTTAACAGAGATATTTTTAAGACATTTATGAATATAATAGTTTTAATAACTTATCAACTGATTTATTTTATCTTTGCTATAATGACAGTAAATAATATTTGACTTGATATTTTTCAAGACACTTCTATACAGCTTTAAGTGACATTTAAAGGATTAACTAGGTTAATTAGGTTAACTAAGGATAAGGTAATGGTAAGTTATGGTAAAACAATGGCTTGTTCTGTAGACTATCAGAAACAAAATTAGCCTAAAGGAGCTAATAATTTTGTCCTTGAAATGGTGTTTAAAAAAATTAAAAACTGCTTTTATTCTAGCCAAAATTAAACAAATAAGACTTTATCCAGAAGAAAAAATATTATCAGACATACTGTGAAAATTTCCTTGCTCTGTTAAACATCATTTGGGAAATATTTACAAAAGAGAAAAAAAATCAAAAAGGGGCTAATAATTCTGACTTCAACTGGACAAGCAAACATATTTTCTTGTTTTCAGAAATAACATGTCAAAATTAGGTGTGTTTTTCTTTAAAATGAGCAAAATAATCTGCCAATGGGGTAAGCAAATTAATCTTATGTCAAAAGGAAAAATATGATTATTTTGCTTACCCCATTGGCAGAATATTTTGCTTGTTTTAAGGAAAAACTCACTTAATTTTGGCATATTATTTCTAAAAAAAAAACAAGACAATATTTTTTACTTTTATTTTTTATTTATTTATTTATTTATTTTATTTTTATGTATATATAAAATGCATTTATTGCAGTGAACACAATACATTATGTAATAAACATTGAATGCCAAATGTAAATTTGAATACCAAATGTAAATTTGAATGAAAAAAATTGAATACCAAATGTAAATTTGAGTGAAAAAAAGGATCAATATTTGTAACTATTTTTTATATTTTCCTGGACAGTTACTCAATCTTTGTCAAAGCAAAATGTATACTATGAATGCAATGTTTCGAATAATAAAGATACAACAATTATACATTTCCAACTCAACATAAAACATCTTACATGTTGTTTTGTTTTGTTTTTAACTGGACTGCAATTGCTGCATATTCATTTTCATAGTTTACATTTGATTTAATTCATTATTTAATTTATAACAGAGGAAGCAGTTTTCTGGTTGTGGTTTGAATTGTCTATTGTGATTTTTTTTTTTTTTGTACTGCTGCATCCTTAAATGTTTTATAATGCAGATTTTATAATACATTGCATCCTAAACAGATGTAAAAATAGAATATAAAAACATAAATACGTTTAATTTATATGTATTTTATAAATATAAAGATAAAATAAGATAATATTAATAATATATACAGAGTTCAGCATAATTGAGTACACCCAATTTTGAAAAGGAATATTTGTATCCGTTTCTCAGTAAATAGGCAGTGTATTTTTGGTGTATTTAAACAAAACAGATTTATTAAACGGATATATTTATTTAAATAACATTTTAGTCACCAAACATATTTAGAAATTGAATGATAATACAATTAAAATATTTAGTACCTACAGATTTGTTGGCTTCTCTTGATTTTTTCCTCTTTTTTAAATTTGTATTTAATATTTTTCTATAACATACATTTGGCTGTACTAGTTTTTGTAGCGTTCATGTAGGTTATTTAGTTAGGTAAACTTCAGAATTGGCTTCAGCACTGACTAATCTAAAGTATGCACAAATATAATATTGTATAGCGTCCTTTTAAAA